CTTACGTTGCAAGTCAAAGCTTCCTTGATGAGAAATATACAAAAATTCCGCTGTGTCGGCTTTTTTGGAAGGTAGTTGTAATGTTAGCGAATCAATGGGAATTAACTAAATAGGTACCTCCGCCATTGTTGTCCATTATGAAATAGGTGTTTTAAATTAGCGTCTAGTGAGTCGACCAGAGAGATTCGTGTGTGAGTCGTGGTACAAAAAGATTCGCGTCTGGTGAGTCAACCAGGGAGATTCGCGTTTGAGTCGTGGTACAGGAAGATTCATGTCTTGTCAGTCAAGGATCGTAGAGATTATAGCGTTTTAGCGTTGAGTGAAGGATCTAGGTCCTTCACTCAACGGTTTTAGTCAGTACTGTGTTTTCCAAGCGGTCTGTAGAGCTCTAATACAGTTGTTAAACCCAGCGTTTGGGAGTTATCCAAGCTTCAAAGGGAAGAAAAATCGTCAGTTCCAAGCGATAGTTAGTGTCCATAGTTTCCAATAGTTTTTTGGGAAGTTGGCATTTTGCACAAGTGGAAAAATTTATGAGTTACCATTTGGATTATTATAACTACGAGTATAGTACGTTTAGATTTTCACTACCCCTGGTGAATATGAGCGTGTAAAAGTTGCACGTGTTAGCACGTGCCTTTTCTAAAATTACGCGAAGAAACAATTACGTATTTCTCTATCGAAGTGCAAACACATCATCAACGTATCGTAGTAAATAAAGACTTTGTTTATATTGTAACCATAGTGCAAATCAGCACATTCCGCGAACATTTGGAGCGCTCCGTAGTGCAATTACGTGCATTAAAAACTTACATCAAAACCCTGCATAAAGTGAAATTTCAGTATAGGAAGTTGAAATTTGTTTTCATCTTATTACTACTGCTAATGTTAAAATTAATCAATGTGAAACACTAAACCGATAAATCAAGAACAAACATTTAAAAGACGAATTCATGCTAGTACTCGTCTCTGATCAACTCTCAAAATTGTGCACTGACCAAAAGGAATCACGACCGAAATCTGCAGATCAACCAATCCGTTTCAAAGCCGTTTCTTTCCGAAAGCTGTATTTGGAGTCAACCATATCCATGGAATGCATTTCCAGCCATCACTTGTCAACTATACCAATGTAATGAATCATCTCCGTGAGTTGTAAACCACCTAGGCCCCAACTCCAAGGATCACCACGACACAAATTGTATTGTTATTGTAATTTCTGATCGACAGCTTTATTGTCTTTTAAGAAAACAATTTCGAACTATTACTAGACCAATTAAATTCAGAACCGGATCAGAAAGGTGTCAAAAAACGTATGTAAATTGTATTTATTTTTGTATTCTCACAGAAAGAAGTCTCTGAGTTTGTGACCAGTCAGAATGAAATTAACAAGAAATTATTACGGCGATTGATGGTTCTGAGACTCGTTGGTGTGCGGTTCCAGAGCGAGAACCTATCCATCTTTTTTCCTTGTTCTACTGTTTTTATTTTGCTCTCTGTATATTGATAAATACAACTTATCTTATAGTAATGGGCGATCAGAAATGAGTTGCTGTCGAGTCGCCTTTGGAAGTTCTAGTTAAGTACGATTTCCCATGTAAACAAAAATTCCAAAGGTGACTCGACAGCAACTCATTTTTGATCGCATAGTATATAGTAATGGCATCCCTCCATCTGTCCAATTCTTCAGCTACATTTGCAGAATTACTACAAACCGCTATTCAAATAAAATGTAGAGTATAGGTACTGGTACTGGCGCGTCAGAAGGCGAAAGATCACAGATCCCTACTATTCATATTCCATTATTTGCACCTATTACTGCGCCATGGAGCCAGTTGGCTCCTCCTACCGGTTCTAAATTAGTAAACTGCGCCTGCGCATAGCCTGCTGTAGTCATCCTCCTACCGGTACCAGTAACAATTAAGTAGAGGGGTCGTCCATTAATCACGTGAGGTTTTTTAGAAATTTTTTTTAACCTCCCGCTCCCCTGGTGATATTTGTTGAGGTTTATAACTACCCCTCCCCCCTCCCCTACCTAAAACGCGAGTCGTTGACAAAACTACCATCACTTTTATTAATGCAGAAAATACTTTCGGGGATGATCACTATATTCACTTTTGCAAAGAACCATGAAGTTTTCTTGACCTAGACATAAAGGCAATCTTGTAAAAAAATCATGCCAATTCACAATTGCGAATTCCGAAGAGAGTACTTAAATACACAAATTTTGTGATTCAATTGAATTGGGCTAAAAGGAATGGAATATTCAGATATTGTAGAGCTTTTATAGTGAATAAAAAGCTGTTCTAATTTTTGCTTTTAGAAAGTTGCATGTGATTAGATATATTGCAAGGGATTTAATGATGGTACGTTTTTTCTTGTACCATTTCCTTTAATTAACTCATTCCTTGTACAATCCAGGCGTACTTGAAGACCGTTTTACATTTTATTTTAATACGTCCTTTGAGCGACAAATATTTTGCTCGTAATTATTAATAATTAAACTGAACAAAATGGTGGCGTGAGTGATTCGATTATAAAGAGAATGTGTATATGCTACACATCCTGTCCTTTCGAAAAATCGCCCGTTTTTCCTCCCACACTGGTCTCTATTTTAACGAGGTCTGCCTTGGCCGCGCAACGAACCGAGCAATCTATCTTTGTTTTCTCATCAGCTGCCGTCCTTCTTTCCCTCGCGTACCAACTGTTGTGTGTTCACTCGACCGTTATCATCCATCTCTTTTTATGTTTACTATGATCCGTCAGATGTATTGAAAATTCGCGGCAAAAACTCTTCTATTGAACAAAATACGAACTCTGCCGGTCGTAATCGTCGTCAATTCTGGCGCCAAATAAAAGGCGGCTCAGACTTAAAAAATAATTTACGCACGCTTTCCAAACGCAACGCGCCCAAATTTAATTTAGAGAAATTAAATAATGCGCATATTGAGCTATTTTGGCTTAATTTTTTTTGTGCGAGTTAGAACAAGTTATTGGAAAAACAATTTTCTCGTTTTCCGTGCAACCACCTAAAATCAATAGCGCTAATGAATTTGTAATTTTGAACGCGATGACGTTTTCGAATGCAACTTCTGCTCAAAAACCTAGTCCTCTTTTCAAAATTTTATTCTACATCATTACAACATTCCGAGTGTAATTTATTTTTAGAAGCAACTAATTCTGTGAATAGGTGTCATGCGCAGTGACGTCAGATTTGGAAAGTACAAGTACGGATATTGCAATAAACTAATGCCGTTGGTGTATAAAATTTTTGCTTCCTGGATAATGGTTCGTTTCTCGCGTAGCTCTCTGGATGTGCCTATTTATTCAGTCGATATTTTAATATTTAAGCAATTTAAAAATAGACGTTTGGGTTTCCTTTAACCGATGCCCGACGTGCTGCCCTCTACAGTCGATTATTAATAGCGCTACTCGTATTTTTCTTTCAGTTTTAACTTTCAAATTCTTTCGAGTTTCGCCCGCTTTATCATTTGCTAATTACTCTTCATCGAGAATTGTCTCGGTGCGTTTGCTCTTGTAAAAGGGCTTTTTAAGCACATTTTTCCAAGTGGTTATTGCATGGGTCGATGCCATTTTGGAATCGAATGTGGAGTTGGGAATTTTTGTTCTGGAATACCTACGCGAATGGTATTTTCCGCTTTGACTTGTACAATATTTCGAAACGAGCATTAGGTCTTATTTAGCCCCGTTTCCTTCTTAATTAGCTGAGACTTGCATTTAGCGTGTACGAGTAGGTACACTGCCAAACGAGTGACAATCGGCTTTATTGGTATTGTGATATTGGTGACGTCATGCGCACATATGACGAATCGGAGAAATGCAGGGCCTTCCCTGAAGACTACTGACTGAGTCAGTCTGAATTGTCCAAACCGCAATGTAGGTTGGAGTACTTATATCACGGATCTTGTAAAATAAAATGTTTACACATTTTCAAGCGACGCGTCCTTGTGGACCTACTTTTTTTTTTAATTTTCGCCTCCTAACGCGAATAAATAATTTTAGTCGTATAGGAACGCATTTTGATTATCTTATTTCCATTATTATGCTTGAAATACAGGGTAGAAGTTTCGAAATTATCCATTCCATGGTTATATGTAACTAGCGTAGACGCCCAGATGAACATTTAAGCGAGATTGCTTTGTTTGCCGCTGCAAGTTTTGTATGATTACGCTGGCAAACTGTAGAGAGAAATAGACAGGAGGGTCGGAGCTGTAGCTTTCCATGAAAGCAGTACAGTGTAGCTCATCTACCCATACTGAAATTGTGACGTCAGGAGACAGAAAGAGCGTTATACAAACACTACGCGTTCGAGAGAGAGGCGTGTATAAGAAACTGATTACTGTAGGGAACTAGGCGACCCAACCTAACCGAATACCAACCGGTTCGTGGGGAACTACAAATGCCGGAATAGAGAGAGAAAGGCTATGTTTTTATACATGGTATTGATTTAAGGAACGGTTGGATCCGGCTGAGTCACTGTAATTGATAATAACTTAAGGATAGCTATTCTTACGTTAACGTGTGTTTAAGCACTACGTTTGGTAAAACCGAAAATTCAAATTTTAGTACTTTCAAATTTCATTTCTTAAAATTAATTCGACGAGCCTGTCGCTTTTCGCTCTTGTTCTAAATTAGCAGAAGCCTCATTTAGTCCCATGCTGATGATTACGTATTTTTCATGTTCGCCTGTTGTAAAATAAAAAATTGGATAATTAAGACGATGAACGCATCAACCGTGCAGCCGATTTCGATATTGGTTGCGTTCAAACAATCCTTCCGTGCGACGTACACGGTACTTCGCTGCGAGCACCAGCAGTGTAAACTTTTAATATGAAAATAATTTTGAAATTTTGTAATCCCGCCTCATAACTGGCTTGAAATAATTCCACCAACGATCAACATAACCTTTCCGTTGTGGGTACAAAATGCAGGTGGACCGAATCGTGACGGAAACGTACGAATGGAAACCGGTCTCCGCGCTGCTAAATGCCTAACTTTTGCGCTGGTTAGACCGTGTAGCACTGTGTTTCATTATAGTGCTGTTAGATGTGATAGTGCTTTTTTCGTGAATATGTTGCATTACGCAACAATGACAACCCCCGGCGCGAATTAATCATGTGGTTTGAATCACAGGTACGTACCAAATTTCTGTCAGCACCCCAAAGTTTTCTCGCAAAAAAATCACCTCAGTAAACTTCAGATGTATGAAACAAATTACACCTAAATAAACAACCCTCAGTCTCCCTCAACAGTGTTTGCATTCTTCCTGTAAATAAGTACAATTTAGTTACCTCAAACTTGGCATTTTCTAGCGGGTTTTTGCTCAGTTTACACCAGCGTGAACTGCAGAATGTAACACGCCAAAAATATGAGAAAAACTAAGCGATTTTCTATCAAGAAAACGTGCTTTTTAACTCCACGTGACAACTGTCAAACTCAATCTAGTTACCTATGCTATCTCCGCATGTGTTTTGTTTTGAAACGAGCGGGATCGCGGTGCATTGAAATAGTTTATGCGAAGTTGACCAGTTGGTTTTTCACCCGGCGTCGTGTACAACACACGTGCTACGTATCGCGCATGATTCAGTTGGGCGATTGGGCATTAGTCTTGTACTCTAAGAGAAAAGTAGAGGGGAGACGGCGCCACGGTCAGACGGTTTACGACGCTACCTTTATTTTTTTTAGAAAAGCTGAAAATTTAAACTTCGTTAGGCGCGTTTTTCCGAAAAAAAATATTCCTAGTGTAGAATTTTAGAAATTTGGCGGCATTAATTTGTGTCAACTACGGCTCCTTGTTATTAAAAAACTGCCTTTGTCGTTTTTTAATTTTTTGTTTCAAACTTTTGTTAAAAAATTTAGCGCTATCGATTATTTCTGCCGTTCGTGGTTTACTTCTGTAGTAGGCTTCGAGTCTTATACAACTCGGCGTTGGTGTCGTTTCCATGGTGATCGGGGGGCGTAACTGACTTGCTGTACACACGATTTGACGATATGAGTTCATTCAATAACTGGTGCACGTCAAGTGAAAGACATTTAAAACTTTTATTTTCTTTTTAATTTCAATTTTTCCCTAAAGGTGAATCGAATTCATTTTTAAAGGTAGCATCCAAATGAATGTTTAGAACTTGGTTTTGTTGTGCAAGCAGTAAAATGACAAACCAAAGGAGTGAAAGCGTACCTACCATCAAAAGTAATTCCTTATATCAATAGCTGCTACAACTTTTCTCAACCTAAAATCCTCCAAATCCGCACTCTTTGCCGATTTAGTAATTGGGTGGGTTTGGGACGCTGGAAATTTTCCACGCCGCGATCGTCTCTTTCTCTCTTCTGGAGCTTGACGCATAAAACTAGGTATACAGGATGTCGCTGACAATTTACTAGTCTGGTCTGCGGCGCAAATTGAGAACCAAAGCAACCAATGAAAAATTGGCGGTAGTTATCTTACTTCGGAAAAAAAAGTTCGTTGATTTCTTTTGTGTTTTTGGTGACGAAAGGTGCGAGAACGATGGCGAAAATGAGATCTGTTTTGACAATTCAGAAGCAAAAGTAAGACAGAAACCAAGTTCCATTTCCATATCCATTTCTACAAGAAATATCTTATTAATTCCTTACATTTAAACCTTCAGCGACACCTATTCTCACGCCAGTTCTTACAGAACAAACGACTACAATTTTTTTAAGTTTTTAAATAAAGCACCTATCAATACTAGCGGTATTTACCTTGAGAGACTTTTCTTTGGGTTTCAAAAATAGTATTGCTGTATGAATCAAATTTATAATTTATTATTTTGCTATGAGTCACGGTCCACGGAGTACATTTTTCTAGATTGAGCAACGTTAACTTTCAAAGGGAGGCCCCCGTTGCAAGTTAATGCTGCACGTTCTGGCCGCCTCCTGACTACAGTCCTGCTTTCATATCAGTCTGTCTTGACGTATTTCTTTATTAATTTATTCTGCAATACTAACATTGCTCAGAACTAGCGCTAAATGCATTGAGGCAGAAGCCTTTCAGTTGACGTATTTTGTATTATTCTCGGCTAGAGTTTCTCAGAACCAAAGAAATTCCTTTTTTATATTTAAAAAATAACATCTTTTGTGATACAGTATAAGATTCAACAGTAGAGGATACCTATCTGAAACTTTATTTTGCAAATATTTGTAGGCAGTTTACCATGAATGCTTTTGTTTCATAGCCACCTTTATTTTTGTGGGTAAATTCTCCCAACTAAAAAATGCGTGTTTAAAAGACAAAGTTGATTTGCCTCTATGTAATCGACTTCGTATCACTTACGAAATTCTAATGGTCACTCTCGAATTAGGACATACTGTACACAAATTGAACAGGACACAGGTGTTTACTTTTTAATCGATCAACTAAGATGGAAGATAATCGATCAACTAAGATGGAAGATGGGATTACACTTTGGTTTGAGAGAGACGAGAGAATAAATTAATTCCTTCCCCCGTAATTTTTGTGGCCCGACTCATAGGGCCACAATATTATTGACCAACGTCTTCGGAAAGTGTTCAAAGTTTACATAGGTATCTTGAGAATGGAGTGCCGAAAAATAGAGCATCGGGAGGATTCTTAATTCTATGGAGCCAGAACTTAATATTCGAGTCAGATAGTTGGTAAAGGGCATTTGCAAAGAAAAAGTGTCTGGTGAGGTCGCTTGATGGAATAAAATTTTCAACTACAGAAAACAGGGCATCGGAAGTGGGTATTTTACTAAAAGCAGAATAAGTCTCAATGAGACGCTTCCGTATAATTATTGTGTGTAACATGGACGCCATAGGTATTGGATTTTTACGGAATGAGGTAAAAAAAGAAAAATAATTCCGTGTCACACTCTATACTTGTACATACATTAACAAGAAAAATTTCAAAACCGTCCATTTTTCCGACCATTTAAGCTAGGGAAAATGTTATTTTGTAATTTGTAATATGTTGAGTAGGTTAAATTTATTTTTCGAATTTTGTAAAAGAACCGTCTCAACAATGAACCAGTCTCCAGAGGGAGCAAGACCACGTTCTAGTTTGGGGCTGAACTCCGCCTGGTCACCCCTCTGGTTATGGGTGTCCTTGGTGAATTTCGCGAAATGGCGAAACGAAAAAAGGCATTACCTTGATGAGCTCGAACTTCGTAGACTTTTAGTCCATTTTCTCAAGGGAATATCGCTATTATTTTTATTGGTTGCTATTTATATAGGATTGGTTTTAATTCGACTCTGATCTTGACGAGGGGTGATCTGGCCTTATTATGTATAGAATAGTAATTGTACTGCGTGAATCTTTGAACTACCATCCTCAGTGTACCAGTGTGTATCTCTTCTCTCCGTCGACGACCTGATAAACAATTCGTTCGACATCCAAAAATCCCAACGTTTTGATGCATTTTCGTATATTGTAGCCGAGATCGTAGTTATTTGGACATGAACGTAGCAACATATTGCTTATTTTCTGGATAGCCCACGTATCACTTTGCGTAAATATAAACACTTGTAGTTAGGTTATAAACAAGTTCAAATGACAAGAGATAAACAAATCTATACAATCTCAAGGTTAAGAGCATGAAAAATTGTAATAATGTTTCCAAAAATACGACAATATATTCGTAGTAACCGTTCCATTTTTATAAATAGACGCATTGATACGGAAATGCTGTAAGTCTGCCAAAGAAAATGTCGTTTTTACGAAAACGCAGTTTGATTCGTTTTCGCCATTAAAGACGGAGAGAGACGAGAATAGTTAGGGACTCACTTCACTTGTAATGTACTTTGTACACAGATAAAATACCATAAAACACCTGTTGACAGACTGTAAACAAACGATTAGTTGTGTGAACCGAAACAATGCAATAACATCAATACGCCGCCAACTAGACCACTCATAAAAACGCCATAAAACAGCAAAACATGCTTCATTAATCATTCCAATTGGTTGGTCCTGTAACTGACCTAACACAATCTAGAGATCTGACATGAATGAAGGAGCAGGTAATGTCACACTTCCGATAATAAAGCGGCGATTGGGTCCAGAGCACGTGGCCTGCCCCTCTGCCTTGCTGTTTTTATTGCATTATTGGTTTGTTTACGTGTGGTGTATCACTAATCTAGTGGTTGTACAAGTCGCAACCGACACGATTTAAAGATATCTACAAATTAACATCGACTGCATGCGTTCAATTTTATATCCTCTTGCGGCCGTCTCACAAATCGATACCTCGCGCCTCCCTATTTAAGCGCAAAAATAACCAATTCGCGTTTGACCAAATTCCGAGACGGGAGGCACAATAGAATTTTATTTGTTGCTCACATTTGATTTAACCAATTTAGGCCACGGACGCAACAGCGTAAGTCCGTCCTACATTCAAATACCATTCTTATTCGCGCTCGCAAAATGTTGCCTCAAACAAAACGCCTAAACCCAAATATTGGCGTAATTAAGCGAAGATTAATTAAACTAGTCTTCTACGGCAGCTGAAACAAAACATTTATTTTTATGCAGCTATTTTAACTATACGAACGTTTAAATTAGCAAATAGAAAGCGGTTATTTTAATAGTGGGACACGTGACTATGATGACCACGTGGCCTGTCGGCAACAATCACTTGGCCGTGGCTTAAGATACGCGCGTAAAACGTTGCCAACCGCAGGGGAATAAAATTCAAACCGTAAATATAATGGACTTGAAACGCAATGTCGAATCTAGCTATTCTACTTCATTCCATCGTTCTTGTCCGATTCCTTGACTTTTTTTCTATTTAAAACTATGAAAGTAACAGACTAAAGTCGTCGCGATCTAATTAAGTTGTTTGTGTTGTTCAAGTGGAACAGCGTCACAACCACTTTTGTAGAAAAATTAAAAAGTTGTTCACAGTAGACACAATGAAAACAATTCTGTTGGCATTTATGTAATTGTAATGTAATTCAACCCCTAGATGCTTTTAATTGGATCACATTAGCCTGATTTTGCCAAAATGCAACAATATCGCAAATATACTAATTTTTTCTAAATCAAATTGGCAACTACACTTCCGTCAATTTGGCAACACTGAATTTAAAAATATTAAGGTTTAAATTCGAGATTAACGCATGATACAAACAATAAAAGATATGATATTCCGCATGTG